CCCTTCCCAATTTGAACTGCCAAGAGAATATCGGAATCGTTTCCTTCACATGCATGAGCTCCAAGAATGGTATGTTCCACAAGTTCTTTTCAAGTTACTGTAGTGCAGTAATATAGAATTACCTAAAATACTGCTAACAAGCTGATTTTCCTCCACTATTGTCATGAAAGAGTTAACAGTGAAAATAGCGTCGTGAGAATTTAATGGACTAAAATATGAAGTCTGCAGGATTTGGGCTTTTCCAGTGCTTAAATACTCATCAGTATTTTATCAATTGTTCCTAACCTACTGCAAACAAAAGTTGTTGGTTTGTTCTTTTGTTTGCTTTTTAAAAAAATAAAACAGGAATTCTAGCTTTCTTTAAATGTAAAAAAAGCCCCAAACCATTGTTACATTTCTGACATGATTTTTTTAATCCGTCACATAGCAATAACCATCTAGATAAAAATCAGAAAAGATATGTGTGTCTTGTTTTTGTATAATATGTGAAAATTTTGTGAGTGTTTCTCTTGCCATTTTATAAATAACAACTGAAGAAATTGGAGTAGTTGACAAGCAAAACGTTGACAGATACAGTGACAAAAATGACACAAGACTGATATAAGCAATCCTGTTGCTGATCAGCAAATCATGAGAAATAGCTGTTAATAAGAAAATAGAAAGCATTAGAAGACCTCTAGAAGGAATCGGAAGGATTGTAGGCATGATTGTAATGCTGCAAGCCCTGCTGTAGTAGTGGTGGAGGGAGCAGGGGCCAAACCCGTTTCAGCAGTTAGCTTTAGAAATTTGTGCTGGAGAAGTAGACACAGTATTGGCTCCCTTTTAGAGATCCTCCATCAAGTCTTTGTAGCTTCAAAAAGACACTTTGTCTTGTTTGTAGCCAAAGATGATTCTACCAGGGTGCGTTAAGGCAGGCTAAAGTGCTGGTGGAAATCAAAGTATTTTCAGAATCGCAGGACAGCCCAGGTTGGCAGGGACCTTGAAAATTATCTGGCCCAACATTTAATGGGAAAAGGTACTTAGATGAGACTATCTCCTGCCAGCTCTCAAGTGTCCTGGCTACAGGTATATAACTGTAGCACATAAGGGAATTGCAGTTTGGTCAAAAAGGAGATAGTGTGACTGCAAAACCACAGTTGCCATAAGTAGGTGTGGCACTTGGGGATGTAGTTTAGGTGTGGACTTGGCAGTGTTAGCTTAACAGTTGGACTTGATCTTTGAGGGAATTTCTAACCTAAAGATCCTGTGATCTAGCACCCTGAGCAGTCATATCTTGGAAGCTTCCAGTGGTGCAGACTCTACCCGGTCTCTGGGGAGACTGCTCCAGAAATGACTGTTTTGACTATAAAAAAGATTTCCGTATATCAAGATGAAGCCTCTCCCAGTCCAACTTGTAGCTGTTGCCCCTTGTCCTCTCTATGTGTCTCTTTGTGAAGAGAGAGCCTGTGTCCTCCTTTTAGTCACCCTTTAAGAATTGAAAAAAACTTTCTTTGCATGTTTTGTGGAAACTCTTTAAATATTTGAATTTATGGTATATGAAGCTGTTTTTCTGTTTCCTTCTTTCTTTGTCCAGGAGGGCATATAGAGACAAGCTCAAATTCTGGACCCACTGTGTTCTAATAACACTTATTCTATTTACAGTCATCTCATTTTTTGCTGAACAGGTAAAGTTAATGTCTTATCAAATATGTATAACACTTAACAGATTATCTTAAGGATAACATTGGATGGATTTTTAAAATAGGTTTTGAAGAGTAGCTAGGATTTTCCCTTCATAAAAGAAGTAATGATGTTAATGACTCATGATTAGGTTGCTTTAATTTTTAAGTCACCATGTTGAGCTTCTTTGAAAAGAGAGTTATATGGGGAGGAGGAGAGTGGCACCTTCTCAGGTGCCTTGTGAAAGTGAAGTCCATCAGCACTGTGCTAAATTTTTGAAATTCTTGGTCTGTTAACATGGATATTGTAGAAGTGTATAGTAAGTTAAGAGGAAGGAAAATGAGTGCAGAAGGGGATCTTCAGTTACTTAAAGGCCTTATCAAAATCTCTTCCATAAATAATTGCAAAGACTCCTACTGAATTCAAAAGGTTTTGAATCTGACTCAACAGGAAAAAAACCTTTGACTTCTGCAAGCTTAAAATGGCTTTCTTGAACATGATTAGTCCTGCTAAACTCAGAGGGAGTCAATGGAACAAATCATATGGGTAATTCTTTGCAGGTTGGGGCCTTAAGTAACACTTTCCGTGGTCTGATGAAGAGGGTGTAATTCTTGAAAGGTTGGCTTTTGATTATTATTTTTTCCCACCTGTGACTTTTGCATGACTCTATCCCTTGATTTTCAGCCTTTTTTATATATTAGAAAACTCCATTAGCAATTCGGTTTTGGAAGGGGATACTCAACTCAGTGGTACAGTTAGGAATCTAAGTACCATTTTAAGATGTCAGCTTTGTGCTGATCTTTTAAAAATAGAATGTAGCCTGGTGTTAATTTAAATACACAAATTACCTTTAAAATAATCAGAATAAAGGCATGGTGTATTTTTTCACTTTCTGTTTGTATTCTGATTATTGAGAAGTCTAGTGGAAATGTGCACATCTAATAGATGAATTGGAGTAAAAAATGCCTTTCTGGCATAATCTGAAAAAAAATTCAGTATTTAATATGGGTGGCACAGATTTGATAGTCTGTAGGATGAAAACCTGACCAGCTGTGGACCTTTAGTCCAGCAGAGAACTACATATTGCATTTTTTTTCTCTCCTCAGCTAATTGCACTTAAACGAAAGATTTTTCCAAGGAGAAGGATCCAAAAAGAAGTTGGTCATGAACGGATCAAAGTATAGAAGAGCTTTATTTTGGAGATCTGTCTACCTCAAACTGTGATTAAGCATTTTAAATGTCTCTTTCATAAGTGTCTTTTCTGGTTTGCTGTTTAACTACATTGATATGAAGAAAAAAAAATCATGCACCTACATTCAAATTTCTGCAGTACTCTTCATGATATAAAACCTGCTGGAGCTGTGACAATGCAACATAACAACAAAAGATAATTGCAGGATACCTGTACATAGGCAGTTTTCAACAGATCTTACTTTACAACTCTTAGTTCATGGCCATGTTATCCTTTTTTATAAAAAGGGTTACCTTAACAAATGTAACTGCATTTATTGCAGTGGATGTTGCCAACTAGATAAAATGTTGGAAGGAAAAGTTGTTTGGGATCAGCTTAAGAAGTCCTTGATCTTGCATTCCAAAGCATTTTGCAAATTTCTGTCATTGCTGCTTTTTTAGCCCTCCAGGGAAAATTGAGAATTATGTACCTTGTCATTTAAATTTAGAATATATTTATGGATGTTGACATTCTTTAAAGCACAGTGACAATTCATCTCCCTATTTGTAGTGTATAATTGGGATTTGAAAGAAAGGTATGCTACTAAAAAATTACACAGTAACAACATCTAATAGTTTATTTGAAAGATGTTTTATATGTGGTGTATTATGGTCCAAAGAATACAGAAAGAAATTGTGTTATTTCCTGGCTTGATTACAAAGAGAGGATTGTAATCAAAGGAAAATGATCAAGGTAAAATATTTTACAAGCATTGTAAATCAAAAAGCAAAAGTGCCTCTGTATGAATGGGTAACAAACTGTTTCAAAGTAGAAAAGTATGGGGAGCAGTGTTTCACTTCATAAAACAATATTTGTACTGACATACAAAGCTGTGGTGTTTTTAAATTTCACAGAATTTGGCCCTGTATTTTGCTGAGATATGGGAATAGTGTGATTTTATGCGGGAAAGGGTACTGAATCTTTTCAAGCAGAAAATTTTGGTGGTGTATCTTCACTTAATTGTATTAGCAGTATTCAAAAAGCATTAATTTTTGTAATCGGATGATGTACAAAATGTATGTGCATATGTATTGTAAGATACTTGGCTTGCTTTGGAGTTAACTAAAACGTGATGAAAGTTTCGTCTGCTGTTTCTGTTTCACACAATCAGGTAGATTAGCTACGAATCTACATCAATCTTTACGTCAAAAGTTCTTATTTTTTCCGTTAAAAACCTTGCAGCTTTAATGATTGAATAGTGATTTGAAGCACGGCTCCGTTCTCAAAGCGGGATGAAGCTTTGGAGCAGCTTTCGAGGATGCACAGGCGGTGCCCGGCCCCGCTCATGAGGGCGGCGGCGCCGCGTCCGTTCCCGCCCTTTCCCGGCCGCGGGAGCGCCGTGAGGGCGGCAGCGACCCCGGGGCTTTGGCGCCGCCGGCCGGGGCTCTGCTGCGGCGGGAGGAGCGGGGCAGGGCCGGGGCTCTCTGCTGTGCGGCAGGTGCGGGGCAGGGCCGGGGCTCTCTGCTGCGGCGGCAGGTGCGGGGCAGGGCCGGGGCTCTCTGCTGCGGCGGCAGGTGCGGGGCAGGGCCGGGGCTCTCTGCTGCGGCGGCAGGTGCGGGGCAGGGCCGGGGCTCTGCTGCGGCGGGAGGAGCGGGGCAGGGCCGGGGCTCTCTGCTGTGCGGCAGGTGCGGGGCAGGGCCGGGGCTCTCTGCTGTGCGGGAGCTGCGGGGCAGGGCCGGGGCTCTCCTCTGTGCGGGAGCTGCGGGGCAGGGCCGGGGCTCTCTGCTGTGCCGGGAGCTGCGGGGCAGGGCCGGGGCTCTCTGCTGTGCGGCAGGTGCGGGGCAGGGCCGGGGCTCTCTGCTGTGCGGGAGCTGCGGGGCAGGGCCGGGGCTCTCCTCTGTGCGGGAGCTGCGGGGCAGGGCCGGGGCTCTCTGCTGTGCGGGAGCTGCGGGGCAGGGCCGGGGCTCTCTGCTGTGCGGGAGCTGCGGGCAGCGCTGTCCCTGCCCCCGGCGCGTCCCCTCAGGCTCAGCGGCCAAGTCTCCCTTGCTGCTCTGAGGTGGGTCCCCACGGTGAAAAGCCCCGCACAGGAAATTCACACAAGCACCGGTTTGTTTCGTGTCTTTTTTTGGGGCAGGGCGGAAAAAAAAGAGGTGAGTTTCTCTAAAAATCTCCGTTAAAATACACAGCTGTGGATTGAAGACACTCAGATCGGCTAAAACACGGTAGATCGGTACCTACACGGGATGGGTGGGGGCTGCTTGGGCTTGTGAGGTAGCAGGATTGTTTTACACCTGGCTGAGGGGGACTGACAAGTTCTACTTTGTAAACTGAGTTTTAGCACGAAGGAAAGTGTCTGTATGTCAGATAAAATAGATGCTTGCAGTTCAAAATTAAACTGCCTTAGCAGCACAGGGACAAGCACAGCCAGACACTATGGACCAGCACTCTCCTCTTTTACATTGTCCTCAACAGGCAGTAGTCAAAATGCAGATTAAGTCTTGGCAGTTTTCTCTCATTTGAGGATAGTTCTAATGCAAAGGCTTTTGATTTTCCAGTCAGTTAAGACACTTGTTTTTCAAGACACTTGTAAAATCTAAAATTCTACATACTATGAAGAGAACATCAACCTCAGAAAAAGCTCGGTATTAAAAAGTACTCTTTCCTTAGCATAGCGTGGCTATGTTTGTACAGACCCATGGAATTTGGAATTAAAAAACATTTTCACAGCTATTGACAAATAACAAAAAAACCCCCAAACCAACCAAAACAAATAGTAAACTGAGGTGTGTGAGAGTTGATAATGTTGGGGGGACCTCACAGTCCTTGAAATTAAAAAGATCTTTAATGGAGTTCTCCATTTCCATGTGTGAACTTAATTTTTAGTTCTGTCTCTGCCCTGGCTAGTGGAAAACCTATTGCTATTTTTAGCAGTGTTGGATTGTGTCTAGAGTGAGAGGTTTACTAAAGTAAATAAATGAATAATTTTTTAAAGAGAGTAGTCTATCTGTAAAATGTTTGCCAGTGTAGAAATGGCATTACTTATGTTACAGAATGCAGAGGTATAATAGCTATAAAGAAAGATAAATTGGAACCTGGAAGTTACTCAGGACTTTAAAAAATGGCATAAGCATATTTATATTTACAGTAAGCATATGTATACTTTACAGTGTGGGATGTCTTGTAAGAATCACATTGTTCTCTGTGATTTAGCATTTCTCTGTTTTGGACAACTATTGGCATAGCTTTTGGGGAATGCAGTGCTGGACATGACAAAATGTGTAATAAACCTTATGGAAGCTAAGCTGGCAGACATCTTAATAAAACAGATAATTTATATTGGTTTTTTTTCCAGCAGAATTAAGTATGTTCCTAATAGCCCTGGCATTTTTTAGCATGCTTTTAAAAGCATCACTGATGGGTAGTGCTGTGGAATACCTCAAAAACTAAACAAGTTTGACTGTTTGCATATCTTTACAGGTGCAGTCTGTTACAAAGAGATACCTATAATAGGTCCATGTAAGCATGAAAACGTATTTATTTTCAATTTATTGTGGAGGAGGTTATGTCACAAACACAATATACTGTTTCAGTAGGAAAAGATCTCACCATGGCACCGTCCGGGAGAAAGCATGGAGGAAAAGCTGGTAAACCAGCACAGGACGATCAGACTATACCTACTTTTGACTTTGAGGAGGAAAGAAAAGAACTGAGTGGATCAGAGGAAGATATTAGAGAAGGTGCTTATATGATTTTTTTAGGACATTTGTAAAATGTGAATTTTATCACATTTGTAACTATGAAAAGAAGGGAAGAACTGACTCAGCCAGGGACTGAGCACAGCATGGTTTGTAGTACCAAAGACCACCAGGCTCCTACTGTGTAATTTTGATTGGTAATTTTCAAAATAATATAAATATCTGTGATTTTTTTTCTAAAGGTACAGAATTTCAGTACCTTTTTTACAGTAAAATTCAGATTGGACTTTTATAATTTATGTTATTTTTAGCTTTCTGATGATTGCTATATTGAGGGTTGTGAATAATGGTGCAGTAGTGGACAGAGAAAGTAAAACTATCTGGGAGCAGGGTAGAGAACTAAAGCAGTGCCAGCTCCAATCTGGTCTTTCAGAATAATTCACCACCCTCTGTCAGCTCCAGACTCAGAGTTATAGGAGCTGCCTGTGTTACTGATGGGAACTGACCATGAGGCATGGTCAGGGAAATGGCATTACAGAAAAGTAATTACACTTTTAATAACTCAAACAACAAACACAAAATGTATTTTTGTAAATATTTCTATACTCCTTCTTAAGGTGACATACCAGTAATGGACAAGCATGGAAAGAAAAGACCTCTGGCGACTACTCATGTGGTTCCAGATGATGTGGGGTAAGTTTAGATGTTTGGGGGCTTTTTCCAAAATAAGCAGATCTTAAATAGATACCAACTTCAGTTATTCACTATGCTTATTTTTGCTTTGTTTGAGTTTGGTTTGAGGATTTTCTTTTAGTATTTGATTTAAAAAATCAAGTGACAAAAAAAAATGTAAACAGTAATTTTTCAGTTTCTTTTGAACATGCAGAAGAAATTGATATATTTGTGTGTTCTTAAAATTCGTTTCTTTTAAAAGATTACTTTTTTTTATCGTAAATTGTTGGTAATGTCATTACATTCTGTTAATTTTTTTCTTCTGATTTTAGTTGCTTGAAGATACTACCAATACTTTAAATGATCCACATTGCATGAAAAAGAAATTATTTTACAGATAAATCTTATCAAATTTCATATTCCTGGACAATGTAAATGTAATAAAAAAATACATGATAAAAGAGTTTTTAAACAGATTAGAACTGTTAGTTTGAATATACTGTTTTTACTTTGTTGTAACACTGCCTTACACATTGGTGTTACCGTCTTAAAGATCTGTAAAAACAACCCTGAAATTATTTGCCTTGGGATTTTTTACTGTGCCAGTCATGCTAACTGAGATGAATTAGTTTTCATTTGGTGTTCCAAATACCCATTCTGTTTTCTTTGTTATAGGGAATAATCAATTTTATTTACTGACTGCCCTTACTCAACCATTAAGTACCTAATAGTGCCTCTTTACTGGAGAGTCAGCTAATAGATTCTAGCTTTTTTTATTTTTTTTTAAGCAAATTAGTCTGAAAAAGAAACCTCTCATAAGAGGAGAAAAGGAGTAAAATTATTTTATCTTATGGCAGTGGCAGTTCTGTTTCTGCTTAGAAGTAATAGGCATGCAGACAAAATTAGTTCTAAGCATATTCAACAGGTCTGAAGTCAGAAAATGGGCAAATAAAAATTTGAAACACTATTTTGTAGGGGTGAAGTACAGAATATGTTGGAGAGATTTGGAGGTAAGTACATTTACATATTTACATTCTAATAAATAAAAAAATAGTTGCAGAGTTGGCAGCAATAACTCACCATAAAATAACTTTCAAGACTTACGTAAAATGACTAGTCTCTGTAGTACTTTTCAGCATTTCTGAATAAAGCCAGTCTTCAGGAAAAAAAAAGTTATATCTAAGGAGAGCAAAGGGAAAGAAGAGGAGGGAATAACTGCATATAAATGAGTCACAGCTTGTAAGTGTAGATAAGGAAAAGGGAAAGATGCATGAGTGCTTTGGATAATCAATTCCAATTTTAAGATTAAGAGGTAATAAAGATACCGTAGAGAAAAGGGACAATAGCAGTTTGCTGTTGTTCTCACTCAGTATTTTGTTACACTGACATAGAGGATACTGGGGATGGCAAAAGTGAGAAATAAGGGAAATGTAAATGTTAATATAAGCAGCAAAAGAGAACAAACAGTTCTAATTCTAGATAAGCAATTTTGGAAGTAGAGTTTAGTTGTGATACAGAATGAGAGAGCAGTCTGTACTTCCAGGAATCTAGAGAACAGGGAATCAGCAGGTAAGAGAATTTCAGCAGTCAGAAGGAATATGAGTTTCTAGAACAGCCAGATAAGGAGGGCAAGTAATACCAGTCATCCAGTGATGAGCAATTTGTGTGTGTCACTTAGCAGGATTTAGTATAGTTATAATCAGATCCTCAGGTGGCTTTACCTAGTTAAACTACAGTGATAGGATAGAGAAAAAACACTTCTAACATTTGTAAAGAATGTACAATACCCATCACAGAATAAGCACACATCAAAAAGCCATGGAAGGAAGGGAAACCATCTTAATGCCAGCATTACACACTCAATAACTAAATAATACTTTCATTGTATGTAATAAAAGAAACCTGTACAGAGTCATTACTTACATGTCAAATTTAAGGTGAAAGAGTAACTTCAGTAACTCCTTAATCCAAAAATAGGACTTTTGGCTGTCATAAAATTACATATTTTGTATTACATATTAGAATTGCATATCTGGCAATTCAGATAAGGGGGATTTCAATGCTAAAAACTTACAACTGCATGTAATTTAAGACTCAAGAAAGGAAAGAAAGGAAGGATAGAAGGAGGGAAAATGAATGGATCAGAGAGGATGCTGCCTGCACGAAATTGTAGGTTTGGCAGTAGCAGAGACAGATGCCTCAGCAAATTAGAGAAGTCTGACAGATGTTTCCTGAAATCTACAGTGAGAAGGAAAATAAATTACTGTATTAATTTCAAGCTGTGACTTGACAAATCTCCAAATGTAAATGGAAGTGAAACAAATACAGTAACTTATATTAATACTTAAAAAATACTGTCTCTCTGAAGTATGAAAATAGTTATTCATTCATTGAGTATGCAGGGATAGTAACCACATACTAACCTTAATTGATTTCTGCAATTCAAGAAATTTGCATATGAGTCTGAAACAGGTGTTGGTTATGGCGTGTGGGGGCATAAGGAAGCAGCGTTCACGCCAGTGCCACCAGCAGGCTGAGGGACACTCACCACATCAGTTCAGATCACAGGAGCTTCTTGTCGCTAGAACACACCTAATTTGCTTCTCCAAAGTGTAGCTCATCAGCCTTTTTAATACGTGGCACAATGTATCCAGTATGCCTAATTTCTAAATGTTCCGTGGTTTTCAGCTGACATTAACAAGGCTCTCTTAGCCAAGAGGAAACGATTAGAAATGTATACAAAAGCCTCACTGAAAACCAGTAACCAAAAGATTGAACATGTATGGAAAACACAGCAGGAGCAAAGGTGAGCTTTTCTCTTGGTTTTCAAGCCTGTGGAACTAGATTCCCTTCTGGGTCACAGAATGGATAGCTGGTCTGTCACTTGTAATAGCAAGTACTGTATCTAATGTTAAGTATCTGCTCAGGGCCTCTGCTGCCTCCTGTTGTGTCCACTTTGTTAATCTGACAGTAATAGTTTAACACATTCTCTTTTGAACAGATAAATTTAGGATTTGGAACTCTGAGAGCAAGGTACATTAAAGAGCAGGGCTTACTTTTATCTTTATGGCAAGTGACCTTTGATGTCATTATGTATTTTAAAAAAACGTGGGGCAGTTTTTCCCACTTCGGGATTTTCTGTTTCTACCTGAAATATCAAAAGTTCACTAAAACTTTAATACCATTCTAGTTAAGAAAGTAAATAGTTTTCACCTTGCTTAACATTCCTCTCCCCTCTTAAGGCATATTTAATTACTAAATCAGATACCAGAGATATCAATGTGAAAATGGAGACAGCTAAAAATTAAAAGTGAGCAATATTTTTAACTGCGTTGGTGTTGTTCTACATTTATTTGTATTTGAAAGTTGTACAGACAAAATTTTAAGAAATGAGCTTATCAGTTTTGCAATATAAACACCTTGTGTTAAAGCCACTATCTTTAATTGAATTAGAAAAACATAGTAAATCTCAGAAAACCTGACACTGTTAGGAAGAGCTGTTATAATTTCTTTTTAACCAGTATTTTATGGGAGTGCTGTCTCTATAGATATATTCCACATCCACTCAGTGTATGTGTGTGTTCAGTTTTTGAAAACATACAGTATTTAAATGGGGTCAGATGTCAAAATAGCCATTTCTTTATCTATGCCAGCTTTTCTTCTATTCCATGTGTATGTTGAACCTTAGCTTTCCTTGTAATTCCCTGTAGCATTTGTCATACTTACAGACTGTCTGTTTGTAGGCAGAAGCTCAATAATGAGTTCTCCCAGCAGTTCCTGACTTTATTTCAGCAATGGGATGTAGATGTGCAAAAGGCAGAGGAGCAGGAAGAAAAACTAGGGGTGAGTTTCCAGCATGGTGTGAGTTTCACTGTATTTTCAACAAGGAGGAAAATACTGTTCTTTCGATACTCAAGAAATGTAAAAACACTTTATGAAACATATATATGTGATTGTTTAAGTTTGGGGAGAGAGGTGCATTTATAAACTTTATTGCAAGTTTATAAACACTGTTAAATGATGCCCTAGGCCAGCATAAGGCTTGAGAAAAGTAAGAACCATTTAAGCAGAAGAAAGACATGTGCTGTTTCTCTCCATCCACAGTCTCAGGGAAAAAGGAATTTTAAAGAAAGTAGTTGTCTTTTATCATACATTCCTTAAAGAGGATAGGAGCTGTACAATGGAATGTAATCCTGTGCTGTTGCTGTGTTTATATTTCCAACACATTTGCAAGGTTTGCTTTTCCCTAGGTAGAACATTCCTCTGGGATACCCTACGAGCTCTGGGGCATAGCAATCCTCATGGGATTTTACAGGGATAATTCAGGTTGCAAGAGACCTCACGAGGTGACCTGGGGCTTAATCCAGTCTTCAGTCCTACTTCCATTAATAAAAGCCAGGGTAACTTCTCCAGACAGAGATCCACATTACAAGGCACAGATTTCCAATAAAGGCACATTTTCTGATTCTGAAAAATGAACTAATGTCCTGTCCAAGCACTCTACTTAACAACTGTTGAAATTATGTTTTTCTTTTGCTTCTGCTTCAGAATATGCTTCGTCAGCAACAAAAAGTTTTTCAACAGGCAAGAATAGTTCAAAGTCAGAGACTGAAAACCATTAAGCAACTCTACGAGCAATTCTTAAAGGTAAATCTTTTTTTTGAAAAACAGCTGATCCATGTATCACTTAAGAAAGCTATACTAATTTAGTGTTTCAAGTTGTTTGGTATTTCTTTAACAAAGTAACTAATATATTAGACAGCAAGCAAAAAACTGTTTTGAGTACAACTACATAAAAATTTTACTTTTTTATTTAAAGGCATTCCTCACAAGAGAAACTCTTCTGTGCCTTAATTATCTTCATGACCCTTTGTTGGAATCTATCCTGTATGTCTGTGTCTCTCTTGTCCTCAGGAGTCTGAACTGGACTCAGCACTCCAGGTTCACCAGCCGCACAGCCCTCAGTATACAGGGCAGATTCAAGTCCATCAGTTCTGACAAACCTTAATTTCAGTTCAAGTCATTTCCTAGCTGGTTTTGAAATCTCAGTTATGATAACCTTGGTGTTTGGTTTGGGTTTTTCCAAATGTGATAGTTGATAAAAATAAATCTGAAATTGAGTAACTCTTAGTTTAAAATAGTCAGAATTTACTGAGTATATTACATAAGCATTAATAAATAATAACTATTCCAAAATGTCAAAAATGTCTTCATCAAAGAGGAAAAACTGAACAGAAGGTCAAGTATTACTTTGATTTTTCTTCTCAAAGAGCATCAAAAGGTAGAAGTCAAAGTTCAAATAAGCTTAAATAAATACAAATTAAGGAAAATGTAACTAGACACATACACTGAGGTAAGTGTAATTGTATGCAAAAAAGGGACAATAACCAGAGAGTTTTATTTGGCTTATTTGGGGAGAAGTGTGCAAAGAAACACAGTGGGGTTTACACTCCTCACTTCAAGTTCCACAAGGCTGTCATAATACTGAACCCCTAGAATTCCTGACAGACGTCTGGTTCGATCTCTTGTAGGATTTTTATCTTAACTGAAATGCAGAAAAAGTAGCTGAGACCTTGCAGAGGCTGACTGGAGGGTTCTATCTTCTTCCCAGGGTACATACTGCTTAAATAGGAATGTAGACTGGAGTGTGAAGTCCTGGATGGTTCCTCTGCCAAGTTTGTGAAAAACTCATCAATTATCTGTGATCACTCTAAAAATTAAATTGTAGTATGAATTATTATTGTTTGGTTGTTTTAAATTAACTGCTTGACATTGAGGAGTTCTGAATTAATATTATCTTTAACTTCAGAGCATGGAAGAGTTGGAGAAGAGCAATGAAAATCTTCTGGCTGGTGCCCAAAATGAGCTTCGCAAGGAAATGGCAATGTTGCAGAAAAAAATTATGATGGACACTGTAAGTATCAGATCTATGAAGTTAATTAAATGCAAAAATAGAACATTCTGTTAAAAGTCATTTGACATTCATTTAATTCAAAGGAATCATATTGATACAGCATTTGTTCAGCATTATCTCCTTTTCTTGTGACAGCAACAGCAGGAGATGGCAACTGTTCGCAAGTCTCTTCAGTCCATGTTATTCTGATGGATCAGTGGAGGAGCAACTTGTACCTAAGTAACACGATACAAGTACAGGCATTAGAAGGATGTTGAGATTTACATGTTTCAAGGTTCCTATAAAACCCTTTCCTGGATTGTTCTAATCTTGTCTGTTCATGTTGTAAGAAACTATCTTAGTAAACTTTTATTATTGGGGGGCAGTATGGACCCCAAACCATTCACTGTCTGTTCAGCTGATTTTTAAAAATTTCATATCCACTTCCAATAGCATTGGACTGTTTAAATTGTTTCACTTTTTCTAATACCAAATTGTAACAAGGGGAAGAGTTAATGAAATATGCATTACCCAGGTTTTTCATAATAACTTGAGGCCTTTAGGCACATTGTGCAAATAGAAGCATTTCTAACAAGCTGCAAATTTTCACAGTTTCAACATTTAGTCTGCTGATATATTAGCTGTTATAAAAATTCACAAAGTATGACATAGCTCAGAATTGTTTAATGATTTGTATTATGGTAAATTAAAGTAAATTTTGTTAATTCTTTTGTTAGTCTAGACATTGTACTATCTCTGTATTAATAAGAGATTTGTAAATTTCTGTAATTTTTCCAGAAAATGGGTTTCTTTTAGTTAAATGATGAGCTTAATGTATTAGCTCAAGTAACAATAATTAACCATTATGCATTTTGGGGTCTACTTTTTGTAGACCCCTGCTAGAAGAAATCTACCTCATTTATTTAGTACAGGCTATTACAAGCCTTTGAGATGGAATATTATTTTTTGCAATTCCAAATGACTAGCAATTTAGGGAGGCCTGAGTTTTAAGGGTAAAGCATTTATCTTTCATGTATCTCATTACAGTAAGAAAGTATAAACTAAACAATTGGCTTAGTGCACATACAGTTTGTTTTTATAGAAAACCACCACATCTGAATATCTGCTTTTAAAAATTAGGCAGTTGCCAACATATTTAATGCTTTGATGTGATACAACAGTAGATTCAAAAAAAACCCCATCCACACACCCACGCACACAAAATGTGATGTTTTCACAATAATGTGTTTCAAAACCATATTTTTCTTCTCAGCCTACTAGCATTTTTTAGGTCAGAGTCAAGTCATTTGATGGTGGTTCTCCAGGTCTGGAAGCCAGATTAGTGATGGCTACCTTGCTGTAACTTCACCTATTTGATTATAATGAATATGGAACTTCTTGTTCTGCCCCTGTCAGAATTCAGGACGGGAGCAAACATGGAAGTTATACTGCTACACTGATGGATCAAGCGCTATGGCCCTCTCATGGGTAACCAGTAACAACGCTGGTTTGTTAGTACTGAGTCTCTGCCCTCTAAGGCCAGTGGCAGGAGACTATGCAATAGGTGACAGGTTCTGCTTCAGATCTTCAATAGGAGGTTATTTGTTAGCATTACCTCCAGCTTCTGGTTTTGTTTGTTAGTACTGAGTCATGGTTCTGGCTTTCTGAGTGATTTCTGCATTCGTTTCCTATTATCCACATACCTCAATCATATCCTCAAAACTGCTTACACCTACTGTGCCAGGATACAGTTTTGACCATTGTGGAGAACTCACTCATTTCATTCTTAAGATGTTACCTGTGTCTTTTCATCAGGAGGTTAATTTGCTTACAGTATTCAGCCAAAGTAAAATGGTCACTACCATCTTCTTTTCTATTTGGCCATGGCCTGGCTTCAGGCTAAATTCATGTGCAGATGCTGTGTCATTTGCAGCCTCAAACATGAGTAGTAGGATTCATTCTGAATTGATATTAGTCACTTGAGTTCTAGTCCTAACTGTAACAGGCAGTAACTGTTACAGTTATCCCTCAAAAGGATAATTATATTCCTCTTAGGCATGAGGGTGGTGGATGCTATTTTATTTCCTCCAGACCAGCAGATAATACATCACTTTAAAAGTTCCTTGAATGCCTCAGGAAGTATTTTTGAATTAATAAGCAGGTAGGAAGCTGCAGTTCCTACATTTTTAAAACAAACCACGGCATTCTTTATTGGACAGTTCAGGAAGGACTTCATTAACTCAGAAGCTCAGGTACATATCAGCAACTGGAAGGAGTAATGCACACTTACATTCAACAGCTTTTTACATAAACTGCATTAAAATAGTACCTCTTGAAAGGAGCTTTAGCTTATAGGGTTTGTGTGCAAGTAATAATTTTTTCATACAGATAACAAGCCACTTTAATTCAGCTTTCCTATAATGGCAACAGCCCTCTTATTAGATATATTATGTTACTCATTGGGTTTGTTCTTAAAGGAAGAGAGAAGCTGATATTGGGCCTGAGTTCCTGTTTTGGAGAGTTTTACATTATGGTTCAGTTTTGTGCTCTTTTGTTTGGATAAAGTACAGTGGTAGCTACGAGACAATAGGATCAACTATAAGGTAAATGAACACAGGATAGCAAAAAGATCAGAGAGGGAAATACAGAAGGGTGGGCTGCAGTGCTGGAGCCACAGGCATTGGAGTTTATCAATGAACTTTGTCCTTCACTTGCATAGGCTTACAGATACAGGTTAGAGTCCTCTCCTTACACAGCTACCTGTAGTCTAGCTAAGGATGAAGTACAATGAGACTGACCTTACTATGACCACAGAATCAGAAACTGGCCTTGAAAGAAAGTGCAAGCTAAAGTTTTATGTGGTAGGTTTTGTACTTAGAGAATGCATGAATTCTAAAGGCACTCATAACAGTACTTTGGATCAGAAAAAAATTTCCTGAGCTGTACCTCCTTTATCTACTGATCCAACAGCTTGCTCCTTAGAAGTACCAGAGGAGAGATCGAGTGATTTTTTAGGTCATGGCTGCCTCATTTTACCAGTCTTAATAATGCAGGATTAAATTCATTGGTACATCTGTCAACAACTTCAGAGCAGTTCCAACAAAACTTTAAAACCTAATGCTACAAGATTAGACATGAAATTCCTCTTTGAATTCTGGTTGGTAGCACCTTGGTTTGCATCTACATTCACCAGAAGAGAAATACAGAATTGAAGTTACCTAACAGGCAATGGCAACATTTTCAAATGAAGTATTTGTGGTGTGAAACACAGGGAAATCCATACTGGTTCAAAAGTACAACAGCATCTGCAGGACTTTGTACCTACTAATTCTAACATCTGGTAATGCCTGAAACACAGTGAACTTTCTCACAAAACTGTTTTCTTCAAAAGCTCAATCTGTCTTCCCAAAAGCACAGAGGCTGCTTCATTCCCCTAACTGCTTCTTCTCTTGTCCTTGACCTATTTAATCAGTCATTATGGTTTTGAACCTGCTCAGGAGCTTGATGAGATGAAATTCTGAAGACATGTATATGAAGATGAGCGGCAATCTGTAGGCACACACCACTGGCATATCTCAGCATATCAAACAAGGATATGAACTTCAAAAGAACAAAACAGAACAGGTTAAAAAAAAATCAATTTTTCTCAATTGTCCCTACTATAAATATGCTATACTTTAATCAGAATTTATTCAAGTCACAAGCATAACATAAATACATCATCGTAACATACGGCTACAGAGTGGTCTAGAGTGGTCTAGTTTAGAATTAAAAATAAAACCATCACAAAACCCCAACATCCTAACAGCACTAAACACTTACAAGAGCTGATAAAAAAAAACATTTGTGTGCAGTTCACAGAATGACTTTAAAAAACCCATATGGACTAAAGCATAATTTCAGGAGAGATTTATAAATTTACTTCTCTGTTCTAAGGAAAGCAAGCCAGTCAGCTCCCAATAGCTTATTTACTTGATACGCTGGTACTCCCTCTGCAGTGACAGCAGAAATGTGAGCAAGTCAGAAATGGCAAAGGAGAATGACAGGGACAATTCTCAATCCATTCCTTAAAGCATGGTCCAAACAAAAAGTATAGAACACTTACAAATGCTATCCACAGAACAATATATTCATCAATGAAACTGTTGAAGTACTGGTCCAAAAACAGAAGTCCTGGCCCAATAAATGCAGAGTCCTGAAGACAAATTTCGCTTTTTGTCATGTGAGCCACCTACATTTGAAACAAAAAAAAAATTAAAAAGTGCATCCCTGCAAGATTGGTGTAACTACCAGCAAACACGCATCACATTCTTGCCCAGCAATATCCTCTTGGAAGTTACATCTATACCTGTGTATTTCAGCTATCTCCAGGGGCTCCCCATTCTCTACTTTTCCAGCACTCTATTCAAAAGGTAAGACTATCCAAGTGTATTACTGAAAACAAATACTATGATTTTTTTTTTAAATTTTGGCTTTCCCTAGTGAAAAGTTAACTAGGAAGGAAACCTTTTCTTAGGTGGCAAAACTTGTTCTCACTGTTTAGTAAGAAAGTCTGTAGAATACCTGTTTTCTAGTGTTAAAGAAATGTCATCCTTGGAGGAAAAAATATAAGCATCTGGCTGGATTACTGATGTTAATAAATATGTAGTAAGGAAACTTTTTTTAATCCATTAAGGAGTGTTTTATGTACAAAAAATACAAAGACCAAAAAGACAGAATCGAGACAGAAAAGTTTCTCTCTTCATTTTAATGGTCTTAGTAAATTCTTATTTCAGATAATTAAAGGAGGTCACAGCACTGTTAGTAAGGCTTAAGAGACCATGGTTAGGATGTTAACAACAGACACTAAGTGCATTTCTAGGAATCAGTTAAACAAAACTGAAAGTCCTAACCAGTCCATTCAACAGCAAATACATGTTTTCATCAGTGTCACACACAATCTCTCAGAGTCTAGTTCAGAATCTTTCACCACAAATCTGGTAATACAGTAGCAAAGGAAAATGGGAAAACCGTACCCCCTGATCCAATAAGTGTTAAGCCAAGAACCAGTTTAGGTTTAGGACTGACTTACCACCAACTTCTGTGAGATTTTGGCATTCACAAGCCCAAATGTTAAGACATAGAGGCAAGAATGTTTTTCAAACAGTTGAGTTGTAGACTTTTTATAAATTGTAATGGCCAGTGTGATAAGCAGTCCAATGTGCAGGCCTGGTGAAAGAACACTTGTTCCCTAAGATATAAAGGGATGGAAAAATTGTCTTAAACTTGAGTCACACAGTAAAGTCCAGGTTTTATACATATTTCAAATCCCATTAAACAAAACCAGAGTTGTCAAAACTTGTCAAAATCCATTAGCATTATGCTACTGCTCTTAGTACCCTTTGCAGTGACCATTAATCAAT